ATTCTTTCCTATTTTATTCTACTCTACTCTACTCTACTCTACTCTACCCTATTCTTTCCTATTCTATTCTGTTCTACTCTACTCTACTCTATTTTTTCCTATTCTATTCTATTCTACTCTACTCTACTCTACTCTACTCTACTCTATTCTTTCCTATTTTATTCTACTCTACTCTACTCTATTCTTTCCTATTCTATTCTATTCTGTTCTACTCTACTCTACTCTACTCTACTCTACTCTACTCTACTCTATTCTTTCCTATTCTATTCTATTCTACTCTACTCTACTCTACTCTACTCTACTCCCTATTTTTTATATTCCATTCCATTCTATATTCTGAGCAGGGGGCTGGACTAGAAGACCTCCAAGGTCCCTTCCAGATCCTATCCTATCCTATCCTATCCTATCCTATCCTAATTCTATAAAGGAGAACATTTGTAGCTCAGGGTTGAACTGTGGGATCCTTGGTGTTTCTGAGTTTGGAGGTTTTCTTGCAGACATTTCATGACCCAACTAGGTAATATCATCAATGGAAGCAGGAGGAGAAGGAATACGGCGACAGGAAGGGCATCTGGCCATTAAAACAATCTGCTAGCTCCATTCAGTTGCCCAGACTCCACCTCGCAAGGGAATATGGGGCTGTTAAATGAAGGTGATTTCATGACCCAACTAGGTAACATCACCACTACTAATAGAAGAGAATATTTGTAGCTCAGGGTTCAACTATGGAGTCCTTGGTGTTCTCTGAACTTGGATGGTTACTTGTAGGCATTTCATTGCCTTACATCAGTACCAACAGATATTTGTAGCTGAAGGTTCAACTGTTGGGTCCTTGGTGTCCTCCCAAGTTTGCTTGCAGACGTTTCATTGCCCAACTAGGTAACATCATCAGTACCAACAGAAGAGAATATGTGTAACTCAGGGTTGAAATGAGGGGTCATTGGTGCTCTCTGAGCTTGGCTGCTTTCCTGAAGAAATTTCAGGACCCAAACTAGGTAACGTCTTTTTATTCCCAGACGAATTAAGGAATGGCTTAATTGAGTTGCAAAGAAATCTATGGCCATTTGCAACTTGATCTGGGTTAGCACACTGGGTGAGTCCAGCCCTTTATTGGGTTAGTTAGCCATGACAGGGCGCTTAAGATATTTTGCAAAGCCAACCCATTGTAGCTTCTGTCAGGAAGTGTGTGGTTAAGGCAACCTGTTCTAACTCAGGTTTCGTCAAACGTAATTAAACACAAACTTGTTTTAAAAGCAAAGCCTATTTTAATGCAACACTGAGAATTATTTCCATTCACAGCCACAACTAACTTAAACAGATAAGCACACCCCTGTCAGTGCTGTAGAATGCTGCCAAAAACAGAAGTATCCAAATTAATTAGTACCAGAAAAAAAACGACCAGAATCCGCAGAGCTTTCAAGAAGGACTCAGAATATCTTGAACTACTTTGCTTCCTGCAAAGAGTTCGTCATTGAGGTCTGACTTTTATCCTTATGCCTAAAGTGCAAACCTGAGGTCAGACCCTGTGGGAGTGGGAGTCTGAGGATGGGAGGTGGTCCAGACAGAGATATAGTGTCTTGAAATGAAGGCAGAGCAGGGATAACTCAACTACTGTGGGAAAAAGAAAACAGACCAGGAAGGAAATCTTAACCAAGATGTAAACTTCTGGAGAATATCTTGGTACAGTTGATGTGGTTTTGACTCTAAAGATGACCGTTAATTTTGAGGAAGTTTCTCTTTTGACCAAAGAGTGGTTGACTAGGGGTTTTCTTTACTTCTCCTTTTTTTCCTGAGTACTTTTGACCTAGATGTATACATTATGGAGCCTTCACAGTACCTCAAAGTTCTCCAGACTCTCCCATGCACTGAAGTGTGAAGATGTTTCCTCAAACTGTGGGTTTCCTCTCTTGTTGCATCACTCTTAAGTTTCGCTGCTGAGGCTTCATCAGGAGGTTACAGAAAACCCAACCCCTTGGTTTCCAGTTCTGGCCCTGCGGAAAGAAAAGAGTTAGCTGGGTGGTTGCAACTGCAAATACAGTCGAGATACAAGAAAGATGCAAAAACATGGGTTTTACAAAGAACCAACAACATTTGATAAGATATTATTAGTGGCAGATAAAACTGATCCAAAAATATGTAACTACTTATTAAGTTATAAAATGGAAAAGGAATAAGTCAAAGAAACAATGATTGTACTGGCAACATTTTTTGATTATACTATAGAATTAGATAATTGGCAAAAACTTTGGGATAGGAATTACAAGGGCTACTGCATATAAAGAAAATCTGTATAAAATGTTTTATAGGTGGCACTTGCCACCGGCAAGATTAGCAGAAATGTTAGCAAATATGTCCGCCAAGTGTTGGAAGTGTCATCAGATCCCAGGTATTTATTATCATGTGGTGGACCTGAATGAAAGCAAGAAAATATTGGACGAAAATACATACATGGTTGGAAAAGATGATCAAGCAACATATAGATCTGAAACAAGAAATTTTTTTGTTGGGTATAATGCCCAACAAAAGGGGATATGATAAGGGAACTATATATCTAGTTTTGCATATATTAGCAACAAGGATTGTATTTGCACAATATTGGGAAAATGAGGACACTTCATCTGATCAGGATGTAATTTGGAAAATATTAGACTGTACAGAGATGGATATTAAAAATAAAAGATAAGAAGACACAGAATATTATTTAACATGGAATAGATTTTACGAGTGGCTAGAGATAAGAGGTAGAAATTAGATGAAGAAAGATTATTGCTATGTATGAATTAAATATAAAGATGGTTTATAATTTAAAATATGCCAATATAACTAACAGAATCACAAATAAGCTAATATAAAGAGAAATCTAGTTGGAATAGAATGGAATGGAATTCTGTTGGAATAGAATGGAATGGAATAAAATAGAATATAATTCTTTATTGGCCAAGTGTGATTGGACACAGAAGGAATTTGTCTTGGTGCAAATGCTTTCACTGTACATAAAAGAAAAGAGACATTCGTCAACAGTCAAGAATCATCAGGTGCAACACTTAATGATAGTCATAGGAATATGATAAGCAATCAAATCATACTAGGAAACAGTCAATATAAATTGTAAGGATACAAGGGACAAAGTTACAGTCATACAGTCACAAGTGGGAGGGGATGGGTGATAAGGAGTGATGAAAAGGTTAATAGTAATAGTAGTGCAGACTTTGTAAATAGTTGGACAGTGTTGAGGGAATTATTTGTTTAGCAGAGTGATGGCGTTTGGGGAAAAACTCCCCTTGTGTCTGGTTGTTCTGGTGTGCAGGGCTCTATAGCGTCGTTTTGAGGGAAGGAGTTGAAACAGTTTATGTCCATGATGTGAGGGGTTTGTAAATATTTTCACAGTCCTCTTTTTGACTTGTGCAGTATACAGGTCCTCGATGGAAGGCAGGTTGGTAGTAATTGTTTTTTCTGCAGTCCTAATTACTCTCTGAAGTCTCTGTCTGTCCTGTTGGGTTGCAGAGCCAAACCAGACAGTTATAGAGGTGCAGATGACAGACTCAATCATTCGTCTATAGAACCGAATCAGCAGAACGTTATACTATTATTATTGTTATTAGTATATATGTTAATTTTTCTTTATGTTCTTTCTTTGCTTCTCTGCAAATGATATGCCCTGACAATACACTGTATTCAAAATGTTTGTGTGTGTGTGTGTGTGTGTGTATACACACACACACACACACACATAAAAAAAAAAAAAAAGAACTGTTGTAAGTCGAGGACTATCTATATATATGATTTCGACCTGAAGGTTTATGACTTGGTTTTGTGTTGTCTGTTTTAGGATGTGAGTCTCTTGGAATATCAGCACCATCCCAGAGAATACACTTCCCACCTGCCGCCAGGATCTCTCTTACACCCGCAACGACGCAGGCCCTCCTTGTTATCCGAATTTCAGCCGGGAAATGAAAGGTAAGACTAAAGAAATGGGACGCATTTGAGGTTCCAACAGATTTTTTTCTTCCCAAAAGATATTTAGGACCCAGTTTTGAAGTCTCTCTCTCCCCCCTCCCTCTCTCTCCCCCTCTGTCCCTCTCTCTCTTTCCCTTTCTTTCCTCTCTCCTCTCTCTCTCTCCTCTCTCTTTCCCTCTCTCATCTCCTCTCCTCTTTCCCTTTCTCTCTCTCTCATTCCCTCTCTCTTTCCTCCTTCCCTTTCTCTCTCTCCCTTTCTCTCTCCCCCTCTCTGCCCCTTTCTCTCTTTCCCTTTCTCTCTCTCCTCTTTCTTCTCTCTCCTCTCCCTCTCTCTCCTCTCTTTCCTCTCTTTCCCTTTCTCTTTCTCTTGCTTCTCTCTCTCTCCCTCTCTCCTCTCTCTTTCCCTCTCTCTCCTCTCCCCCCTCTGTCTCTCTCCTCTCTCTCTCTCTCACACACACACGGACAAAGACCATCTGTGTGCTGGACAATTGGTCACGTGGCTGCAGTTACCACAATTTTTGCTCAAAACAATGACAATTGGACCATCATTGCATTCACTAGACAACCCTAGTGTGCGCGTCACAACTGCCACGATCAAGCGATGATCCGCTTTACGACTTAAACCGGTTGTAATTGCCAGACTCAATTATAGTCATAAGTTGAAGACTCTGTATGGCAGAGTTTGTGACATCGTACAATAATATTTTGCGAGATCGAAGGTGTTTGGACCCGGCTCCCCAAACACGACAAACCCTCTGTATTTAAATAAATGTTGCCCTTTATTAGGAGCGCCAGCAGCCCCGGCAAAAAGTTCCTCTCTCAACGCAGGCTAAGAAGTCCGTCCGGCAGGGAGATGAATAGTTGTCTGCCACACCTTTTTATCTCTGCTCCCTGCCTTTTATCCCCAGAGCTAGGGTGGAGTCTCGCTAGCAGCAGTGGCTCTTCCGTTCCAAGGACCGGCCCATAGATTTCCACTGCTCTCCTCTCCTCTGCCTTCTGTGCATCCGTGCATCAGGCACTGTACCCAGCTGTTCCTCCTCTTCCTCATCAGCCAGCTCCAGACCTGGGGGCTGTTGACTTTCCATCTGAGGGCTGACGGATGGCCCAGACTCCACCTCTGTCTCTATCTCTCTGTGTGATATCCCAGGAAGCAGCACACATGTCATAAATTCCCAAACATAAATAAATTTCCTTTAATGCCTCCAACTTGGCTTCACTGTTCAATCGTTCACAGTTGGAGATTAAACTCTTTCCAAAATAGTCTCCAAAAGAAAGAAATACAGTCCAAACTCAAAAGAACAGATAACGGAGAAATAAAAAAAACCAAAACAAACCGCACTGAAGGAAGTTCCACAACAGACCAGGATCATTAATTACAAACTTCAAGAAGAGAAGAAGGCACAGTCCGTTGGAAGAACGCCAACCAAGATAAACCTCAGCCAGGAATAAAACACACTTTGCTTCTAGCAATGCTGTGTTTTAAACGCCCCTCTTTTATACTATTCCCCCCAGCTGTAGCCAATGAGGGGGATCATGGCCGCTTCCTCTCTCATAAGCCACATTGTTCCCTTCTCCGTTCCTCCCTGCGGGCCCTAGGATGAAGGGGGGATGGGCCTGGGTCTTCCTCTGACTGCCCAGCCGGCCTCTGCCCTTCCCCAGCCTCCTCCACAACCTCCGGAGCCACCCTTCTACTCCCTGTCGGCTGTTCCTCCTCTTCCTCAACTCCACCAAGGGCATGACACTCTGCCAGCTCTATTTCCTCTTCCCCCTTGGAGTTCCCAGATTGTCTTGATGCTGACCCTGACTCGCATGCCTCCTCTTCCTCCTCCTCTGATTGGGCTGCTGGATGGACCAGCAGCCAACAGGCCACAAAAGCGGGTCGGTCACTGGGAGCAGAGATTTACTCTTCCAAGCGTTCGAACTCATGCCGGAGTTCAGGGAATTTCCCTCTACTGAAACATGACTCACAGAACAGCCCAAAAGCCTGTATGTTGGTAGAGGGAAATACCCCGAAGATGGGCTCCGCCGTAAGTCCGAACGCTAAGAAGAATAAATATCTGGTTCCGGTGACCGACCCACCTTCGATCTCGCATCATCATCCTGGGACACATAATATATTCAAAGTTTTGCAGCGTTAATTTAGCGCCAGAAAAATAAACACAGATGGCTGATGCTTCATTTAACGTCTTTGTAAACATAATAAGTAGATTTTACAAACCAGTTGTAGATTTCTCTTAACATAGAGCAAACTCAGACAGAAATAAACATGTTGCAAGTAACTTCAGAGTAGAGCTCCAATCTTCAGCAAGCAAGCATGTTAGTTTCTCTTTTACTTTAGTTCAGCAGGCAAGCAAAAGAGAAGAGAAACAGTTTCATTTCAATAGACAGACTCAGAATTCAACATAGCTTCAGAGCTGCAGAGCTTAATATAGAGCCACACCTGGGCTACTTCCAGTTTCAGTTTCCAAACAGTTCTCATTGGCTGACTTAGTTGTTATGCCTATTCATTGGCTGACCTTGTTACCAAACTCTATTCCAGTTCATGAATATACTGACAATATATTTGCTTTCATTCATAATAATAATATTTTGCATTGCTCCTACCGTGATGTTGGATTCCTTAAGGAGCCGGCTTTTATTGATGAATATAAAATACAATATTTTCTTTTTTTAATTTTTCTTATTGCTTTCTTAGTTCAACTTTGGAGTTTGCCTTTGAGGCTTGTGAAGCTTTCTTTTAAGATTATAAAGATGGCTTTAGTTTAGTTGACTTTATTGTCATTGTACCTCGTACTACAAAATCAAACGCCATCTTCAGTGCACATCATGACCATGAAAATAAACACAAACACACATCCTTCACTTTTCACACATTGAACCGAAACCCCCCAACACAGCACCAACACTGCACTACGCAGTAGAATTCAACAGAGCTACTGCCCTGGGATAGAAGCTGTTTTTCAGCCTGTTTGTCTTTGTTTTTATTCTCCTGTACCGTCTGCCAGATGGTAATAGTTCAAAAAAAGGGGGTGCCCAGGATGAGGTGGATCTTTGAGAATATTTTGAACTTTCTTAAGGCAGGGGAGCTATAAAGCTCTTCCAAAGAGGGGAGAGGGCAACCCATGATCCTCTGAGGGGGAATGAGGTTCACCCTCTGGAGCGCTGTCCTATCTGCCCCTGTGCAAGTGGCAAACCATACAGAGGTGCAGTAAGTTAAGATACTCTCTATGGTGCAGCGGTAGAAGGTCACCAGCACTTTAACGAATTGTATTGGGAGAAACGGTCTAAAAAAAAAATACCCATTTAAAATCAATCGGCTTGGAGCTCCTTGTCCCATTCTCTGTTCTCTTCCCTGCAGATCCCAGGAGACGCACGCTCGGGCCGAGTCCCATTCCTATCTCTCGGATCTGAGCAAACCGTCGGAAATCGAATTCATTGAGACCAAGCGGCCTCGGATGGAGCTGTTACAGGAGCCGCTGCTGAGGCCTCCGACTCTGCTCAGCCAGGCGGGAACAGAGGGTTTCTCCAGGGTAAGCTGGAAAGAGAAGCTGTACAGAGAAACCTTGAATTACGACTGTCATAGAACCCGTTCATTATAGGCATAAATCAATAGAATGTTTGTAGCTCGGGGTTGAAATGAGGGGCCCTTGCTGACGTTTCATGACCCAACTAGGTAACATCATCAGTGCTAGAAAGGAATGGGGTTTGCAGAAGGAGGAAGGGAGGAGGAAGAGGACTGTGGGGTCCTTGGTGCTCTCTGAGCTTGGTTGGTTTTCTTACAGACGTTTCATGACCCAACTAGGTAACATCATCAGTGCTAGAAGGGAGTGCGGTTTGTAGAGTGGAGAAGAAGATGGGGGAGGAGGATGACAACTATGTGGTCCTTGGTGCTTTCTGAGCTTGGATGTTTTCTTGCAGATGTTTCATGACCCAACTACGTAACATCATCAGTGCTAGAAGGAGGTTGGGCTTGTGGAGGAGGAGGAGGAGGACTGTAGGTTCCTTGGTGCTCTCATAGCTTGGCGGTTTTCTTGCAGACGTTTCATGATCCAACTGCGTAACATCATCAGTGTCTAGAAGGGTGTGGGGTTTGCTCTCTGTTTATATACAAGTGGCCTGCCCTGTCCGTGTTGGTGGGAGTATTTCTTGGTGGTTCCTTGATAGAGCAGCTGTTTACTGTTCGAAGGCTTGTCTGTGTTGGAGGTTGGACATGCTTCAACTTTGGCAGAAGCTGGGATGGCGAAATCCCGTGCGTTGGGGGGTGAGAGGTGGGGGTGGGGATGAATAGGTCATCTGAGATGTTCTGTGATGACCCAGGGTGGGATACAAAATAAACACAGTCACAAAAAACAGGTGAAGCCCCTTTTATTCATTCACATTGCTTCCAAGCTACAAATATCCTTGACTGGAGACAAAAAAAAACTCCCACACAAACAGTTACAAGAAGGAGGAAATGCCTATAAATTATAAAGAGTAAAAAACAACACAAACCAGGGAAGATAAGGGCTTGAAGATGTCCACTGATATCAGAACACACATTGGGAAGGACACCAAACTCAGAGAGGAAACATAAACGAGAGATATTGCCATGCTTTGTTTCCAGCACTGGCCCGTATGCATGTCTGTCCTCTTATCCAGTTGTCACAGCTGCAGGCCATGAAGAGGATCAAGGCCCTCTCCTCCCCAGTAGACCATGTCTCTCCCTTATCCTCTCCTCCCTGCGTGCCCTAGGATGGAGAGGGGATGGGCCTGGGTCCTCCTCTGACTGCTCAGCCGGTCTCTGCCCTTCCCCAGCCTCCTCCACAACCTCCGGAGCCAAACTTTCACTCCCTGTTGGCTGTTCCTCCTCTCCCTCAGAGTCAGTCTCCGCCAGGGCATGACATGTTCAGGGACCTGCCAAGATGATGGAGAGACCTGGCCCCTGGAGTTCTGACCAAGGCTTCCTGAGACAGTAACAATCACATGCTGTTCCCAAAAACCTTGTTTTTATTTCAACGGCTATGAATTATATGCATTCACCACCCGTAATGAGTCCCAAACAGTTTATGAATAGTCCCACAGAAGTCTGCCAAAGTCTTTTAGGATAAGGCTGATAAGCACCCACCTTTATCTCCCTTGAAATGCTGCCCACGACTAGATTTCCAATTAGCTGTACAAGGCCAAACGGAGCATGAAGTCAACATGGAGCTTCAGAATTTAAACCGACCAGAATGGATAAAGTTGCTTCCTGCAAAGGCTCCTGTTCCTTTGCTCCTCCTTTATGTCTTATGGGAGGGGCCAATCACCTCCAAGCCTTACTCCCCCCTTTTGTCTTAACTGTTCTTGCCTTCTGGCAGCTCCGCGCATGTGCGCACTGGGAACAGGCTCCCCCTCTTCCTTTACCTCCCCGATGTCAGATTCTGGAGGCACCAGCGTCTGCACATAACTCACCCATGGCCCTGGCCTCATCTCTGTATCGGACGCAGATCCCTCGTCCGAGCCCTCCCCAGACTCCTGGACTGGCCCATGTTCCTCCCCACTGCCCGACTCTGCTGCCAGCTCCGCAGGCCGCTGGCAGACCACAACACCTGGTGGCTTCAAAGAAGGCAACCATCCCACCCCCTGCCAGCCAGCTGTCTACAGAAGGAAGTCGAGTTGTGAGGAAGGGAGTTGTGGGTCCTTCTGGAGGACACAGAGAGAGTGACCTTTGGTATTATGGGACAATGAGGGCCTTGTCTTTCTTCCCCCACTAGTTAGAAATTGAGAGGGCCAGCTTGGATGAGATCTCCTGAAGGTAAGCAGCTGTTTTGAGGGCCAGCCAGCCAGTTTCTCCCTGGTTTAAGGTTACAGAGTGGAGTCATCTGGAGAAAGATGGAGGGTCTGGGTGTGAGGAGGGAAGGACAGTTGCCAAGTCTACAGGCCCACGTGGGCTGCCTTCAGACGACAGAAGCTTTGCCTGTGTCAACTCGTAACACATTTCTATGGTCTTTTTAAAGTTGCCAACAGAAAGGGAGGGGGGAAAGGGGTCTGAAAGAGCAGTGCGGCAGCTTGGAAATTGAAAGGGCATTCCATAAATAGTTTTTCAAAGATAGTAACTAGGTGACTGAAGTTTTTGCCAGGCAAAATTCTAACTGGAGAGCATGATTGATGGACTCTTGGCTATGGATGTGTCCCATTGGAGAATATGAATTAGGATACACCTGGGGGTGGGGGGAAAACCAGGGTCAAGGGTGACAATGAATGAAGTGTCTCAGAGTCAGCTACACCCAGGTAGTGCTGGACATGTTAACTCCCAATAAATCCTTTTGAAGTTTTGGAAGTTTGGCTCGAGACTCATGATTTAAATGGGGGGAACTGCCGGAATCCTGACAGCGTGTTCAAGAGGTTTCCGAGAGGTTCTCCAGACAGGTTTCTTCTCATGAACTTCCTTTCTCTCTCCCCCCCTCCCCCTCCCACCTGCAGGATCGAGGCATCACCGGGAAACTGGAGCCCGTTTCTCCCATCACCTCTGCCCATTCTGATTTGGAATTGGATCTCCTCCCATCCCGGCTCTCGAAGGAGGAGCTGATCCAGAACATGGACCGTGTGGACCGAGAGATGACCATGGTGGAACAGCAGATCTCCAAGTTGAAAAAAAAGCAGGTAACAAGACCTCTCCTTTCCCCCAAACTGACGTTAACGGAGATCGGCTGAGAGTTTTTCATCCAGATTTCAACCCGAGAAGGTCTAGGGCAGTGATGGCGAACCTTTTTGGTCTGGTGCGCCCGAAAGTGCGTGCGTGCGTGTGCCGGCACCCACAGTGCAATGCCCTCCGCCCTCCTGCGCATGCACGCGCAACACCCTCCCGCCTTACCTGCATTGCGCACGGGCGTGCCTCCCAGCTGATTTTTGGCCCGTTTGATGCCTTTTTCGCCCTCTGGGAGGCTTGAGGGAAGCCTCTGCAGCCTCGGGAGGCTGAAAAACTGCCTCAAACCAGCTGAAAATCAGTGCAGGTAAGTTTGCCTGCAGCTCGCGTGCCGGCACAAATGGCTCTGCATGCCACCACCTGTGGCACGTGTGCCATAGGTTCGCTATCACAGGTCTGGTCACAGCCACGAATCTATTTTGATCGGGTTCTAGGTGTGACTAGGTCATTTCCTTTTGCCAGATAGAACACGGGGGCCACCATAGCATGATGGAGGATGTGCCAGGGAGACACGGCAGCTTTTAGAGACTTGGGAGCATCAACAAAGCCTAGATTTCCCCAGGATTGGGCCTGAATGACAGTAGCGTCCAGATGCTCTTATACAGGTAGTCCTTGACTTAACGGCCAGCATTGGGGCCAGAATTTTGGTTGTTAAGCGAGTTTATTGCGTGACTGGCTCCAATGTTGCAACCGTTTTTGCCGGGGTGTTCAGTGAATTCATGTGGTCATTAAATGAACCCTTTCCCAAATTGAAAACTCTGCTTGGAGGGAGCCACTCGGAAAGTTCCCCAATCACAAGCCCAGGGCACTGCAACCGTCATAAAGGCGAGCCAGGTGGTTGCGACGGTTTTAACTTGGGTGGGTTGCAAGTCGCTTCTTCCAAAGCTGTCGTAAATTTGAACCACCGTGAAGCGACCCGTTGTAAGTCGAGGACAGCCTGTGTGGCAATTTGTAGTGGTGTGTGTGTGTGTGTGTGTGTGTGTG